AACCACTGAAGTTTGTATGCCTCTAAGGTTTCTGCCAAAGATAAGGCAGTTAATGTACTGATAACTGCATGGTGGTCAGTATAGCCTAAATTTTTCTATCGCCACCGCCAATCTCATCGTTACCATAATATCCTCAGAGGCAAAAACGGTCTTTTCTTACCATTTGTATGAAATTCTAGAGAGCATCTTGTGAGAAAAAGGATTAGATTAAAGCTATGCCAGTACTGAACAGGTAAAGATCTGCTTTTATGGGCTTATCAGGGTTTCAGGTTGATTGTTAACCTGCATGTAGAACTGTTCTTAGGACTAGTGGTCATACTATTAATCCCACTGATTTACTATGTTCCACAATACAGAACTAGTTTAGAACAAAACAGTAGTTCACTAGAATGAGGAGGTAAGTATATTCTTCAATAAAACAAGATAAATAATGAACAGTCTGTAACTGTAATGATTAATTAGGGGGAAATATGCTATCGTACATATTTTAACTAATCCCCCCCTCCCAAGTGCAGTACTATAACAGCTATCTAATCTCTCTGAAAACTGTGGAACGACTAATATCTTAGCAAGCTGACTAGGCTCTAGACTGTACGTAAGGAAAAGAGCTTAATAACCTTGGTTAAAAGTTAGAATCCCTGTAGGCCAACTTCAGATTTATTTTCACGGATTAAGAGCTTTCTATAAATCATAGCTAATCATCTGAAGGATAAGCTAATGGTCCCCTCATGAAGTTATACTTGGATACCTCAGTTCCACAGGGGAAATACATTCTGGTGAGTGAATAGGAGGGAATCTCTGTTTTGGTCTCTCACTGATTCACAGTGATAAAGTTAGGTGAATTTTTATTTAAAATCAGTCTAACGTTTGTAATTGTCTTGAATTCTGTATAGTAAGCTTGGATTTAAATTACCCTGTTCTCCCCTGATCGAGACCCAGAAAGTAGGGAGTTTGATTCGATTTTTACTACTGTAAAACTTCTGCGCTCTGTGGATGTCCTGTGGGATAGATGACTGTAGGATCCCCATTTCCAGCTAATGAACTACATTTTTAGCAATTACAAATACATTTTTCCTATTGCTGACACTGAGCTCTGTGAAGATCTCTGTAAAGGCAGGAAATAAGCCTGTACAGTAAGGAAAGCTTCAAAATTACCAGTGTAATTACTCAGCAGAATTGTAGTCTCTGGAGCCTGCTACTGAGGTTTTTACAACTATTATAACGCTTTTTTAGATATGAATGAACAGAGAATTTATTTGTATAAAAAAAAGTGGGGTGGGAAGTTTGCATTCATATAAAAGTATAGCTTGTTTAATATTTGACAACCACCACTTAGAAAACATATCTGAGTGTTTTTGTTGGTCTATCATGGTTAATAATTCGTTCTCGAAGAAGGAAGCGGGGAGGAATCCACAATAACATCCCTCTAGGTCAGGGATATAAATTGAAACATATGCTACCCTCCCTTTTTTTTTTTTCCTCAGATATGTTGTTCTTTTCCCTTATCCTTCCTTGTCCTGCTCCCATCTCTGAAGAAACACTTCCCTCAGTAGAGAGGAATAGAAGCTTTTCACAGCGAGTGATAAATTTTACCAATGCCATTAGGGAATGGGTCTACCCTATCTAGTATCTTCACTGTAATTCTGAAGTGCTAGTAGTTAGAAATCATTGAAGACAATGTATCTGACAAACATTTTCATTAATAATAAAGCTCTTATCTCAAAATCATGTCTTTAGAATAAGATATAAAGCTGCTAGTCTAAGTGGTGGACTTACAGATTAATGATCACATTCCTCAGTGTGAAACATCAGTAATGAAATTATCTACTGTTAGCACTACAGCAAGGATTTAACTCAAGCAGCTTACTAACTCTGTCATTTATTCTAATAGATAAAACCCAATGTATGCGTAGCATGTTTTTTCACGTACAAATAAGATACATAGTAGGCAATTAAGTTAAGCTGCTACAAAAGTTACTGACTTTCCTCTTTTAGTTTGCTCTCCTTTTTCCAGACCTACATCGTGTCTGGGTTTCAGCTTTATAAGGCAGTACTTTCTGCAGTTTGATTTTTGTGGTGCCAAGCAGTCAGTGGCATGCAGCTGGGGTAGCTATTTCCCTAGTTATTGGCTAATGAGCATAGTTTTCAGCAGTTTTTCATCTTTGCAACAGCTGAACTTGGACTCCATCCATCATAATTTTAAAGCCAAACTTTTCCTAGAACAAACATTGAACACAAGGTATCGAGAGAAATCAAGCTCCAGTGTTCTTTTCACTGCTGGCCATGAAAACAATCTGCTCACTACAGTTATACACCAAAGAACAAGTACTTAAGAAGGAAAAGCTCATAAATTTTAGGACTTAATTACAGAACTGTAGTTTACATGTTTCACTTGATGTGTTAGTTTCTTGAAACAGTTTCTATGCGCCTATAAAAAAAATGTAAAGACAGTGAGGGTACCAAGTCAGGTTTATATACTTATTACTGATGCAAGAACCACACAAAAAGACACACTGGTGTCTTTGAAGCAGAGTCACATCAGAATTGGGATAACTGGGTTATGGTTTACCAAACCACCTCCCCGAGCTAGACCTACTCTTGATTCACCTGACCGGGTATGGAAACAGCAGGTTCATGGAGTAGCGACTGCCGATAGATAGTCTTTTGCTCTGTAACCAACTCCAACCCTGGTGCAATGTGATGTTTACTTTGTATGGAGGTCTATGATATATTTCAATGACAAAATAGGAGTTGAAGGGAAAAAACAAGTATTATAATCATGTTTCTTATTTATCTCTTTTTCACTCTTGCATGCAAGTGTCCCCTTCACCAAAGGGACCTTAATCCATCCAAACACAAGACTTCATATAGGTTGTTGGAGGGAGAGGGGGAAAGGGAGAAAAGCATAACTTTTATTCCATTGCTTTTTAGCTGGAAAAACCACTGACACAAAGATGCAAGCTGTGCTGCTGTTCCACTTCGAAATCTGTGTTCCAAGCACTGCTTCAAACTAGGCTCTAATAGGACGGCTTGACAGCCAGAGGCACGTCCTGACACCTTCCAGTAAGAAGCAGACATCAGAGCTGCACTTAAATTTGTTCTGGAACTACCTCTATTATTAGCCCATGCTGCTAAAATGGGTTTCCCTTCTTTTAATTCCTATGAGATCAGTTCTGTAAGCAAGGATTTCACCTTACAGAAGCAGCAGCTCCAGCAGTTTGGGTTGTAAAGGAACAAAAACAACCGCTACACAAATCCAATGTCTTTTGAAAATATTTTATGTTAAAAATACAGAAAAATATTTCTTGTTCAAAGAGGAAAAATATACTGCATGATGACACTGATTAGGTATGTTCGGAAGGTGTCTGTGGCTCCACAACCAGTCACTGGAGTGATGACCCAATTTGGCAGCTAATGGTTCTTTTTCAACTTCTCAATCATTTATCAAAGCCAGAATCATACTGTGACAAAACAGAAAACATGATACCAGTGGATTACTGAAGCATGTGCAAGTAGGAACAGCTATCGCTTTCATGAGAGAACTACACTTGATTCTGAAATAGAAAGTCAAGGCAACTATGCTCTGTGCTTTGCTCACGAAGACAAGGACTGCAGAAGTACTACTGCAGTAGAAGAACAGTACCTCTTCCATCTTGTAGTAAGTGGCCCCATCACAGAACTCATCCATTGCTAACTTAGCCAGATCAACCTTATTTTCTAAAACAGAACTTGTAAAATAAACTTGGTCCTCAAGACGATATCCATTCTAAATAGGCTAATTATTCTAGGTGTGGAAATCCTATAACTCTTTATATTGTACTTACAGTGGGTTTGAGATTAAGGAGTAGTCCGAGTTTCCAAACAATGTTTGATAAGAAAGAATAAAGGCATATATATAATGAGCCTGCAGATAGCTGTCAAAATATATATTATTGAGGCTTAGCAGGATGCAAAAAGATAAGACACGAATACCAGCAATTACGCTAGCAGAATAGAGGAGATAAAAATAGCTGGCAGACAATTCCTTTATTCCTTGGGAGCAATTTTTGAAACTAACCTGTAAAGGTACATGAAGAAACAGAGCAGATGAAAGCCTAGTTTAATCATGGCTTCTTTCATGTGTGACTTCAGTTGTCCTCGGTTATGGATCTCTGTGGGATCGAATACCCCCATGTTTCCACTTGGCACCATAATGTACCTGAAAGTTTAGGAGGGGGGAAAAAAAAAAACAAAACAATGCCAACAGAAGTATAGTCATCAAAGCATTAGGGAGTGTCAGGGGAAGGGGAGGGGGAGAGCTGGCACAGAAGGGACTTTCATCTAAAGAGTTGTTTCACAATTCAACATAAGGGAGCTCTTTTTTAATTCTATTTCAGTTTCAGGATATTGCGCGTATCTCTGCCACTACAACCCACAAACAAAGAGTAAGAGAACAAGAAGTACTAAAAGCATCAGCCCAGCTTCCCATGTATAACCACGGGAGTTTCCAGGTAATAGCCGATTCCAGTTCATTTTAATTGCTGTTCGTGGTTACTTGGTGTTATGAAGGAAACGTCCAACCACAGCGGAAAGATACATTAGATGAAAGGGACTAGAAAAGAATTAGTTTAGCTGTGAATTAGTGATTTATTTACAAAAAAACCCCACATAGATAATCACAAACTCCAGTGGTCAAAATGAGATAGCATAAGACAAGACAAAGGATCTGTGTATGATTCCCATCTTTGTCACAACCATCCTGCGTTATCGCAGCAGAGACACTGAGGCTGACGGGATGAGAGATGGGGCAGAACTGAAGAAGTTAAGTACTGCTGTCCAAACCCACATAAGAACAAAAACTGAGTGAAACAAAGTGAAACGTAAGCAAAAGGAAGAATAAAACCAGGAAAACAAATGTTTATGTCCTGTGAAAATTCAACAAGCAGCATGTTCTTTTGTCTTAAGCATTTCTCAAGAGAGCAAATGCAAGCACATGAAGTTCTCACTCCAGCTGAGCTCAGCCTAGAACAGTGTTATTATTTCACTTAAATGTTATACAGGCTCTACCTTCCTGGAATAATACTCTTTCTACACAGGAATTTAACTCCCGGTCTTACACCTGGAGCAAAAGCAAGGTCTCAGAACGCTTTTTGATTTTCTTTATATACTTGAAGAATGGCACCACTTGTACTCCAAAAGGCACTCCCCCACCTCTTGCATTCATTTCAATAATAGGAACAAGAAACAAGTTTTCTAGCAGCAGCAGGAGTACACCCCCCCCCCAAAAAAAAAAAAAGGCCGCAGTATTTGTCTGTCTTTCACAGAGGCATTAAAAAGCACTGCAGCATATTTGATTAATAACAGACAATTATGTCCCATTAAAAATAGTTCATGTGAAATAGTTACAGTTTGAAAGTCTCTTCTAAATTTGAAGTTTTAAGCGATGGTTCTATTTTTAGTATTATAACACAAATTACTGTCCATTTAATGGAATTGTAATGCATTTTATCAGAATAAAAGGAAGAATATAAGTTGCCTGTACCAATTTATCCTAGAAATAGAGCACATAATTTTCTTACATCTCAAGGATATGATTGCCATAAAGGTAGTATTAATTTTGTTTTTTAATAACAACAACAACACTTAAATGATGCAACTTAAAGCTTGTGGAAGTTGGGAGGTAGTTTTTCCAAGAGACCCACAAGCCAGCACAGCTTATATTATACATCTAAGGAACTGTAGTCATGGACACAACGATGCTAAATGCTGACAAACACAGCTCACGCCAGTTGTCGTACTCTAAACAGCAAAAATTTCTGCAGCAAAACCACACAGAACAAGAACGCTGTCAGCTTTAATGCAGATACACATTAGTGCCTCCAGTATCTCCATTCAGTGGAAACGGCTGCCACAGCAACAGGACATTTCCCTTTAGACATTTCCCTTTCTACACAATTTTGTAAGGGATGTGATAGTCCTGGTCAGAATTTTCACTGTATTTTAAAGATTTTTTTTTTTTACTTTTTTTTTTTTACTTTTTTTTTAACTCCTTCAGTTTTAAGAGGGGTATGATCTACTTAGACATGACAAGAATCACATTATTTTGACCTATTATCTCAAGCATTTCTATATAACAAAGAAGAAGAGGGAAGTGTTCCACTTTTTTTTTTTTTTAAAGAGTTGCTTTCTTTTTGTATAGTCACATTCAACATTTCCTTTGTAATTCTTGCTTCTTTTAAAAAGTAGCAGGTCTAAGAAATATTTAAGAACTAAAAAAAAACTATTTTGAAATATGATTAGATTTCAAATAAGGTGCTTCAGTATCTAGTTTTAAAACAAGGAGAATGTAAGACAAAACTATGTCTCACTGGAGATTGTATAAGACACTACAAAATTCAGCAAAAAATAAACCAAATTAAACGAGCATCTGAGTATGCTGAAAAAGAAGGGCCAGTAGGATGTTACAATAAACATGCTGCAACTTTAAAAGTCTTCCCTGATGCTGTTTTTGACCAATTTATCTTCCCAGGGATTTGTTTCTGATGCCCCTCTCACAGAAAACCTCTCTACTCTCACTGAAATCACTGAGACAATTAGTAAATTAAGCCAATACTGCCTGTAACTGTACCATTTACTCATCAAGATTAAGCAGGTTTGGAAGGACAGAGAATAAGGGGAAGGGATTACTATCTTACCTTTCTATTATCACTTAGATATACTACCAAGCAGAGACTTCTTCAGTCTCAACACAATTATTTTGATTTCTGTATTCATCTTGGAGTAGAATGATAACCTTAAACCTTTCTGAATTCATGTGCAGCAACATTTACTCCAGAAACCGGTTCTTGAAATACTATAAAACACGAAGAAGATTCAAACACGTTCAGCTGATGCTGGAAGTTTGCAGCTCATGATAACGGGTTCACACTTCATCTGTTCCCACTTAATCCTAGTTTAGTAATTGACACCTCCTCTCTTCAGTGTATTCAAACTGCTTTACAGTCCACCAGTTTTCTGACTACCATGCCTTTTGTCCGTTGAACACTGGGTCAAATGTATGTTCTATCCCAAATCATCAGATTTCCTTTACAATGCTAAACAACGCACTGGCTTTTGCAGACTTTTAACTCCTTCACTATAGATGGGATATTCCAGGCTATTAATGTGGGTGAAACTCCTCCATCCTCAGAAAGAAGGCAGGATTAGCAATACAGGCTTAACATTTTGATTTCTTGTGGCAGGACAGGCAAAGTATCATATTGTCATATTCATTTATTGCCTACACTGCGCATCTAAAATTGAGGAAACAATCCTGGATTTTAGGATATTGAGAATGTCTACCCCATGTATGACAAATATAAAATGAGAGCTGTCAATTCAAAACAGCAGTCAAAGCTTAGTGCCTGAAGTGTGGGAATAGAAATAATTGTATCTGACCAATATTTCTCTGACCAGGTTTAGAAGGGAAAGCGAGTAGCTACTTTAAACATTAACATAAGTAAGCAAAAGGAAGCAGCAAAGGGGTAACCAGTACAAGAAATCTTCAAACCTTCAAAGAAAAGGCATTCTCTCTCTAGTGCCTCTGTAGAAACAGCCTAGCCTAACTGAAACATCAAATGCAAACACCGTCCTTGCCAGCAGATACCAAAGGGAATACTGGTCATTTTGTGCAACAGTGTATAATACAGCTGCACATACGGGTGGCCAAACAAAACTATCCCTGTGTCTGTGCCTTTAGTCAACATCTGTTTATTAAGCACACAAGTTATACTGTCTCATGTTACTCCAGCTTAGAAACATTTGAAGGCTTTGCTAGCAGTTTTGTAGAAAACAAGAGCGATAAATGCATGGTTATTTTGCCCAAGAACAACGAGGTTATCAGTAAAGGGATCCTCAACTTCTTTTTAATGAGAGCTATGAAACATCTTGTTTAATTTTACCAGCAACTCGACCCATCCCTGCAAAGAGTTAGCCCTAGCAGCTTCAGGCAAGTTTTTCATACCTATATCTTAAACATTTGGTCTTTTGGACTTCCGGTAGTACAGTGATTAGAGATAATTTGCGACAAATCCACACCCAGTTTTCATTAGCATAACACCTGTAAAGGTTCAATTCTCTGCACGTCAAATGATACAAAATAAAAAGAACATTTTTGAACCGACAGTCCCGAAGTCGCCATGTGGAAACCCCTACTTATAAGTAAACCATTTCAAAGTGGTGGACGGCCCAGTATACAAAGACCTGTATGTATATTTTGTATACCAAATATGTATACAAAATACATTGACAGTTGTCATAAGATGAGAAGTCTACAAACCTTTCCAAATACAAAGAGGCAAGATGGGGGACCAAAACCAGTGCAAATGAGGGGGAGAGACAAGACAGTAAATGACGGAGGGTGCGGGGGATAACACCACAGCCCAACGGTTTTACAACCATCAGCCATGCTGACCTAAGTACTTTTATGCTGGTATCACTATCAGGCATGTAGGCACAGCATGAAAAACATTAACAGCTATGTTTGCAGTACTACTTCATAATCGCAATTAACATGCTATTACTTCCTATGAACTTGGGAATGACACAAATCAAGGTTCCTGGGCACCAGAGAGAATGAAGGAAAGGCCAAAAGCTTCATACCCTTTATACCGTTGGGTATCTTATCATTTTAATTGCAATGAGAGGAGAGTTTTATGTTAGTTAGATCCACCGAAGACTGTTAGCAGCTCAAGAACACAACTGAAACATCTCATCATGACATATTATTTATCTTCACACTACACTTAAAGCTAAACTAGTAACAGTGGAAAAAAAAGCACACAAAACCCTTTGCACTTACCTATATATATTCCATGTTGCTACTGGCAAATTAAGGAGAAAGATGAACCAGTGCAATGAAATAAGCATTAATACAGTTACAACAGCATGGCCAATCACCTCAGGGACCACCCACTGCAAAAAGGGAAGAAAAGAAAAAAGTTATATGCACAAATGTAAATTCCTTTCTGAAAAAAGATCTGTATGGAGTTATCATCTGATTCTAATTGTATCAAACTCAGACAGAAAATTCATGGAAGAAGAAAATTTATGTGATTTCATCACAATATGGGGAAATTAATACCTGGAGACAGATTCCACATGAATTCCACAGTAAGCCAGAAATCAGGCCCTAAGATATTATAACAGAGGTACTTTATCTAAGTGTACAAAAAATTTCTAGATAGAAGCACAGCAGCTGTTTGCACACAACTATATTACACAAGCATTTAAGACAGTGAGTTAAGAAAGTACACAGCGCTCATTTGAAATCGCTGCAGAGAACACTGGGTTTAGGAATGACAGAGGCAGATAATTAAAATCTGTACAGACACAGCACGTACAAACACCCTCAGGCTTGGAACAGATAAGAAAGTTAATCAATATGAAAACTGACACACTTAAATTGGGTCAGCACCTGGCAATAACACATTTTTGGCTTGATAGTATCCTGTAGCATTGTCTCTTACATTAAGAAAGAAAATACCTTTAAATCAAAGTGAACACCCGTGCGGGAAGGCCACATTGATTTAATGAAATCAGTTTCAAGCAGATTGGGTTAAAACGGTACTTTTCCTTATCACAGTAAAATTCTCTACTGTTCAAGAGAGGTTAGAAGTAAGTTATACAGAAGCATCAGAGAAAGCTCCTATAAGGATCCCAGAGTTCAGTCATGAGTAGACACCCTTGGTGTGGCATACCTACAGGAATGAAAGCACAGAACTCAAGAGCTCTGCAAAAAGTTAAGTCTCAGTCCCATGAACTCAGAGTAGCAGCCCATCTCAGAGCACCAAGGGTCAGAAGAACAGCCTTTCGTGACTGCATTTGCTGAAAGATGGGCATCCGAAAAAGACAAGCAGACCGAAGTAAAGGATACATGCAAAATATGGCCAATCGAGGCTCTTCAGTTATACATCACACCCCTGTTATTTGTGATGCTAAGACGAAGGACTGTTTTCTTAAACCACATTAAAGGCAAAGAAGAATAATTTACTTTATTGAGTTTTGAGCAGCATGATCTAGCGTTAATGTAGTCACATTCCAAATCTGATAGTGTAATTATCTGAAGTCCAAGATAAGGAAAAATTGCATGGTAACTCCGAATACACAAAGCTTTATTTTTACCCAATAAGTTGGGGAGAGCACTCTGCTCTCGGTGTAGACTGTTTTGTTCTACAGCTGATCTGCCAAAAGCATATTTCAATTAGTTACAACTCATTCCTACTCTAGGTAGAAAATTAGGCCGCATTTTATCATTAGGTCAAGTGATTTTACGATGTTTTTCCAACAGCAACTGTTGCACAAGTGCTAAAGTTCACTTCAACACTTAAAACAGACCAGGAAGGCAAACTCAATATTTTTAGTTTCAGAATTTTTACTACAACACTTGAAACCAGAACTTAAAAGGAAGAAAAAGTTAATGCACTTTCTAAACTCTCCTCACAATAAAGCTAAATAGTGCAGTTTTAGGAAGTGGATCTACTTTTTTTACATTTACAGCAACGTTGGATTAATTCATAATTTGCTAGGTAATAAGAGGGTAACACCATTATCAAATGAACTTTCAGCAATTGAAACATGAAGATTTCAGACAGAAGAGTCCTCTCAAAAAAGGCTTAGCATGCATGTATGCACATCATCACGCTACGTCCTGTAAAGCTCGTGCTCCTTTTCTCCAAGAAAATGAAAAAGCACAAGATTTTTTTCTATTCCTAAAAAATAGGTAAAGTCTTCTCATTTTTCAACAAATAACCTATCCTTCTAGGATTAATTTCTTTCAAGTGCTTCTGTACTTTTTTCTGTTAGGAGAACTGGGTAGATTCTGAAATAGCACCAGGATTTGAAAGAGCGTGAGAGCCAGTTCTCCTTTATTCAGAAAAAAAAAAAAAGAAAAGAAAGCCAAATCAGTGCTTTGACATTCTAACGCCACCAGACAGCAAAAACTGCAGGCAAGTCTGTAACAAAGAATATGGAAATTCCGTTTGTGGAGGAACTCTCAGTCTCCCAGCTACGAGCTCCCACCTAAAACAGAGTAAGGCATCCTCACAAGTAAGAGACCATCGTCTGGCCGCGGTTGTTTTAGGCCTGCGTAGCTTCCGAGGGTGCGAAGCATGCTTTCAGCGCCCTTTTCTCTACACCGACGCCAAGCGCACGCTACCTCTGCCGAGGCACCACGTACGTGTTTTCCCCAGCACCGGCCGCAGGCGCCCGTGGCAGCCTGCAGCCACCCGGCCCCCAGCACCTGAAGGGGCGAAAGTGTTTCGG